TGAACCGAAAAAGGCATGGGGACATCTTTAGACGATTATTTGAGTAGTCGTCGCGACTAGAGCCACTAGTCGCGACTATTGTCTCACAGAGCGGGGAATGGCGCCATGAGCGCGATGAAGTAAAAACTTGCATCGTCGCACAACTAAAGGTTCGTCTTCTTCGTCTTCAACAGTTGGCGCCAAAAGAAAACGACTTTGAATTTGGATTCCAATCCAAACAACAAAAGTCAGCTTGTTGCCAGACTTGGCGCTTTAATTACGCTAAAAACGCCGCGGTCCGCCGCCAAGGTCCGAGCGAGAAAAGTCGCTTGGCATTTCTCAAAGCGCGGGCCGCGGACCGCCGGCGGACCTCGAAAACCGGTGACGTAAGATCACGTGATGCGCGGCCCGCGGACCAAAACAGCAATTTGATCCGTCGTGTGGATACACCTTAAGGAGCTTCGCCCCTAAAACGCGGTTGCAGAATTACGGCGCTCTTGCTGCCGACGTATTTTGTCTGAGTGTCGCCTGCTATCTTTCGCTGGTCTGCTACACTAGAGTCACTGAATGAGTGTCGCTTATTTAAGCGTAGGTTATTTAGTGACACTATGCTGCACCTTCCGACGTAAAGCCTCTTCATGTTTTGAAAGTAGCTCAAGGTAAGTCGATGCAAGAGCCACGTGCAACGCGTGCAGCTTTTGGGAAGACCATGACGGCACAGCGCAGCACGGAGCTAGATTTAAGACGCCATGTTCTACTCAGAAGTGGCGCGCGGAACGGAACCTGTCTCAAGCATTTCCTCAACAATGAATGGCGCGACTTTTTCCAGGATTTTATTCCGACGCTGCTCCCGACGCCACCTATCAATACGTGCGCCAAACGCGCCCCGCCACTCGACTAGGTCGTCTGTGTCGCCGTCCGTCGTTGACCCTGGCAAGTTTTTTTATTCTATTTTTTTATAGAAATGGAGCTTCGCTTTGTAAATTTACAAGATAAAACCGACCTGTGAAATACACCTTTGACAAAAAGTATATTTCAGAGGTCGGTGCCACATGCAGGCGCTGATTTTCACGGCCCATTTTAGATCGGGCCTGGATATTTTAAACACTCTATATATCAGAAAACAAATTATTACACCTGTAGAAAAAGTGTGTATCTTTTTTCCAGCAGAATGTTTGTTCTGGCTATCCCGTGCTCTACGTTGGCTCTACCCGTGCTCTCGTGTCGCGCTAGCTGCCCGATTTTCGCGTGCATCGTGCAAGCCCAGATAGCCCTGAGCGCCCAGACTACCCAAACGTTCTAAGAATCGCTCATCGAGACTTTCGTGCTTTCGCTTTCAATTTTTTCGATTTCCCTCGGCTGCCTGCTGTCAAGACTCGAATTCTTCAGCAAAAACGTTGGTAAAACCACCTTTCGCAATCATGGCTTACTCCAGCCAGGCGGTGAGCACACGCGAGCCATCCTCCGATGCCAACGAACGCGTTGGCTGCCAACTACGTAACATGAAACCTAGGACCGAAGATACCGACACTTCGCCTCGTCGCTTTAAGAAGATTTCTCCTATATTGATCCAAAGACGTAATCAAGGTCATCGCAACAAGGCGCCCACATCTTCCAGGAGTACAAGAACACGGTGGTCTCCTCGGACATCCAAGCGGACAACCACAACAAAGGGCCATGGTAACGTGGAAACACCGCGAATAGAAAGAAAAAGGATTCAAGGGGAGCCGATAATTTATTCTCGAGATCAGCATGGCTTCAGCGATGTAGTCATTCGATCTGGGAAGCCGCAACGCGCCTCGAAGATCAGCGCTCTTCGAAGTTCAAGAGAAGGTGCATGTCATCTGGAATGCAAGCCACGCGAGTCAAGTAGAAGAGAAAAAGGTCGGCATCAAACACGGGCGATTGCCAGCAAGTATGGAAGCTTTAGGTATAGAGCCAATGAGGATCATCATGATTACAATTCTGGTACGACTGATGATGAATATGACGATTGTGGTGCAGCTAACCAAACTATAGTGGGAACAGCCGACCAGACATTTCAGCGGCGTGTGAGCAAGACAGGAGTCAAGATCTCTCACTTGTCAAGGTTTGCCTCTTTTAAAACATTGTTTATTAAGATTTGTAATAGATTCATCTAAGACGTACGTCGTAAAAAATCGCCTGAATGCCCTGAAAACACAACTTTCACGTGATGTTACTCCAAATATTAGTTTTTTGGCTGTGAGGCCAATCGCTTGAATATGACATGTGTAATGGCAGGAAAATTGAGAAAAAAGAGTTGGCTATTAGTTTCAATCAGCGAGAAGAAAAGACAAGCGGTGTAGAGTATGTAGGGATGATATTTGTGAGCCAAATTGCGTTCTGAAGTTTTAAAAATCTATATAATTCTAAACGAACATTAGCCTTGCCTATCGGTATAAAGTTGAGTCTACTTTTGAAGGTTTATCCTTCCATGGTTCCTCTAATATATTTGCACAAAGGCGTGCAGAGGACACCATCAAAAGTTCAACTCAACAATTGCTATGAATTCCGGTTCATCGTGTTAGACTTTTGTAATCAGCGGCTAGGTCAGTACGTTCCGACTTAGAATTGTCCACGTGACTTTCGGGAGCGAGAGAGAGAGAGACAGAGAGAGAGAGAGAGAGGGGTTCACTAAGGGTGACAGTCAAAGTATAGACTATGCGGCAAAAATATATCTTTCCCTAGCGTTTTTTATGTTGCAAAATAGCTCAGCGATACTATTGCGAAATGAATGAACGTTATTGTCAAGGCTAAATCGTTAGAAAGGGCTTAGGCGCCTAAATCTACACAAGAATTTATTCATATTGAAACTCGCAGGATGCCAAGATTTTTGTTAGTTTTTTAATCTACGCGTCCTTTTACAACACTGCATAGAACTGGTGAGGTACATTAACTTCAAGAGAGCTATTTGTTTGGGCATTCAAACAGTCAGTTTCACCCAGAGAAAACTAATAACAAGTATACTCTTTAGATTTTATGATCAGGTTCTAGAGCAAAATAAGTAGTCTTAAATGTAAGAATAAGGTACGAATGAAATATAACATGCTGTGTGGACGATTCTGTTTCACACGGTCTCTAAAAGACAAATAATTGAGGTTTCAATGGCGGTCTTTACTGGATATATTCCCGAAAAACTAAAGCAACCAAAAAAAAAAGTCGCCTTTTCGATGTATTAGCGTGGCATAGGCATTGGCAATATAGGATGTGATGTGTTAGTCAGAAGCAACTGTGAACACCTGCGGAAACTGGATGGCGCGAGGCAGCCCTCTATGGTGGAAGGAGCTGAAGCGCTCATTGGATGACTTACTTGTGGGTGCCATCTTCTGCGGTTTCCGTGTAAACGCCACTTTCTCAGAGCCTTTTGTAGACGCAGTAGCCCGAGCGTGCGGAAAACATAAAAGTTGCAATGCGGCAGCGCTGAACAGAGCCCCGGCACCCGCTCGCAGCGAAAGATAACCAAAAACTCGGGTTCTCAAACTATACGCCAAGAAACTGAGGGAGAGGAGACGAGAGGACATGGGGACGTGAGAACGCCGAGCGCTGGTTGGAATGACTAGTGGGTAGACCTAAAGCTAGCTAGCTGACTTTGCCTCCACTATACTGGTCGAACTCGTCCCAATGCGAAAGCCAAACGCCGGACGCTGGCGTTCAGCGTTCTAACGCGTTCGACGAGTACAGTGGAGACAAAGGCAGCTAGCTTTAGGTCTACCCACTAATCATTCTAACCAGCGCTCGGCGTTCTGACGACTCCACACGATCTCGTCTCCTTCTCTCTCTCTCTTTGTTTCTCAGCGCATACCTCAACCAGTGGCGGCAAAGTGAGCGCTCGCTTTCTTTTCTCTTGTTCTCTGCAGCGCTCTCTAGCGCTCTGTCTCTGGGAAAGCCCGGACCTCGCTCGTTTCGCGGAGTAGAGCGCCAAAGTATGTCTGAGCACGTAATGTTTTTCCCCCTCCGGGAGTGACACGGGGTCACTCGAGAAATAGGTTCGGCTGGTACTGATGTCCAGTCGGTGAGGAGACGAGCGCGGCGTCAGCGTTCGGCCGGCAGTCGGCTTGTCAACTTCCGATGCTAGCACCTAACCGGATATGATTAGGTGCCATCCATATAGCACATTATCTGTTAAAAATTTTGTTGAATCTAGTGATACCTTGAAGTTTGTTGTGTTTTAGTTGTACCCATAGACACCGCCCCGGCGGGAATGGGCCGCTTGGGAGATATCGAGTTCAATCTTGTTTCAAAATATCTGTTGGCCGCGAATAATCCTGGTTGTTCTGGGGCAGATCAAATTTCTATTTAACCTTTTCTTTTTTTAATGAACGTCCTTACTGAACCTCCTGTCAGCCAGAAAGCGCTCAGTTAATATGGTTTATATTTCTATTTTTAACAAACGCGTTTTGTTTCCAAAAAACGAAGCTGAATCACAAACAAATTTATTTTTCAGGAGAGACACATCGTCCCAAACAATACTTCAAGAAATAAGCGATGTATCTGATACGACATCGCCGACTCCAGGCGCAGAAATCCAAAGCAGAAGTGAAAGGCCCAGAGCCACGCAGCGAGGATTTGGTAAAAAGTCAAGTTACACTGACCGCCCACAAAGACCAGACCACCAGCGTTCCAGGCCATCCCCACCCTTGCCGGTTAACCACAAGAAAACAACCTATGTTCTGCGACCCAGCCTAAGGAATTGGTTTTCGGCACATCATATAAAGGACTTAACGCAGACCCCGCAAGTAGACAATCCAGAACGAAACAAAGATTTGAAGAAGGCCACATATGGTAGAAAAGCCGGCTTTTCTTGGAGTACCACTGCTGAACCCAGCAGCTCCTGCGACCGTAACATCGAAGGTGTGGAGAGCCAGTTAAACTTGAAGCAGCGTGGATCCCCGGAATTTACTCATGGGCGGAGGAAGGCCAGTTCCAAGGACGTTCCTAGTTCTACCGTCAGTGAGAACAGCCTTATTCAGACGTCGGTTCTCATGGAAGCTCCTACTAGGATGGTTTGCTCTCAGACCAAAAAAGAGCTGATTCTTTATCACGCTGCGTTTGGACTAGTAGTCTTGGCTGCGTTTTCCCTCGTGATCGTCTTCTGCCCGGATGTGCTGAAAACCATATCTCCAGTTCGGCTGCTAGCGATGCCATCATCACAAGAAACCATCTCGTCGTATTATAGTAAACCTCCAACGGCACCAATTCAAGCAGCACCTCAGCACCCAGCCGCACTTGCAGGACGTCCGGTATCCTATTTCGATGTTTGCTGGACGGACTCATGCAAAAGAAATGGCGCATATATAAACGCCCTAGTTTCCCGTGAGTTGGATCCTTGTGACGACTTCTTCAAGTTTGTATGCAGTCGCTGGAGGAGTCATTACGACAACATGACATCAAGTTTTGACGACGACATCGTGTATCGCTTCGAGCGAGATGTCCTCCGGCTTTTGGAGTCGCCATTGCCTCCTAGTGTTCGCGACACGGATGTGCTATTGCCTCTGAAGCATGTCGTAAGCACCTGCGTGAGCTCCGTCAATAATTCCGATGTCTATGCTGTCCTGGACCTTCTCTCAGAAGTGGATCTTGAAGGGTTTCCATTCACGCCTCCCGTCCGCAGCAGCATTTCGGCCTGGAAGACAGCGGCAAGGGTGTTCAGCTACACTGGAGCATCTGCCTTGTTTAGTCTTGGTGTTGCCGTCCACCCGTTCAAATCGAACAGGGACGTTACCACCGTAGATATTCCACAGCCTTTGCTAATCAACAAGGAGAAAACGACAGCCGCTTACACCCGCCTTGTGAAAGCGTCCATGAAAGTACTCGGAAAACGCTTTGTTCCTTCTGCGTACACTGCAGAGGTTGTTGCGTTTGCTGAGCAACTCGACAAGGCAGCTGAATCCGGGGAGTTTTTGCACTCGGATGAGCGTCTCCACCGCGTATCCAAGCTGCAAGACCTGCCTGAGGTTAGAACTTATTTGCTAGAGATAGGCGAGGAGAAGCTTTCTGCCGATGAGAATGACGTGCTTTTATTGACACCCAACTTTCTTGAGAGCTTGGTGAATCTGGTTCGCAAGTCGGATATACACGTTGTTTTGAATTTTCTCTGTGTCCACGTTTTTGTTCGAACGTCGGTCTTTTCGTCGCTTAATAACCAGGAACTCGCCTGGGTGGCGACGTCGCAACTTTTCGGCCATTCTGTCCACCAGGTGCCCCGATGGCGCCTTTGTGTTCGGGCCGCTGCCCAGTCCCTACCTAGCCTGTTCCTTCGCGCCAGCAGCCTGACAGTGAGAACCATGGATGACGTTGTTGACTCTGTTTTGAGAAGCGTTCTGAACCAAATGAAGCTGCAGATCCACACAATCTCATTTTTCGATGACAAAACCTGCGCGCTCGCTAAACGAATTCTGGCTGGCACTCATTTCGCCACAGCGGGGCCACGCTGGCTGAGTCAGGAGGACAGGCTCTCATCTTATCTCGCTCAGCTACCCAAACACAATCCGAAAGACGCGTTTCTAAAATGGCACTCGCATACCCTAAAGGCTGTGCAGAAAGCAGCATTGCGACGGAGATCTCTCGATGTGTGGTCTGGGTCGCCATTTGCAACTGACTGCTGGTACGATCTTCAGCTCAAGACAGTCTACATCCCGACACTCTTGTCTAGCTACGCCATGCCACGCGTAGACGATTATGGCACCGTCCAGCTATCACTCATGGGCCATCGCGTGACCCGCTGCCTCTTGCGGATGCTCATCGAAGGTGTCTCGTCCTCCTTCAACCGCGAGATTCTGACCAGGAGTTTCTGGTCTTCTTACGCTAAAACATCTCTCCACCAAGCGCAGGTGTGCCTCCAAGAGCAACTGGATGTTCCAGCGTCTATGTCGCTTTCCTTATTAGAAGATCACACTGCTCTCAAGATAGTCGAGGGCCTCTACGAGAGCATCAGAGTGAGACGAGCTGCAGCTCGGGACATTCGGTTGCCAGGTGCCGAAGACTTCTCAGCCGTGCACCTTTTCTTTGTTTACTACGGGCTCGGCTTCTGCGTCAAAAACTTGCAGGAGGACGAGGCGGAGATGCAGGCGCGACGCGTCAATGTTCCGTTGCGAGGGTCATCGGCCTTCCAGAGGCTCTTCAACTGCAGGCCCACGTCACCGATGGGTCCGCTAAGAAAGTGCGCGGATTGGATGAGTCCGTCGAAGCAGGAGACTCCCTCGCGTTCGCAAAGGAAGCCAGATCCTGAGGAACCAAGTAATACTATAGAGCAATAAGAAGCTCGCAATAATGTGCGCTCTTATTTCTGATTTCACAAATAAGCTTGGTATGAACAATGACTTTTCGAATTCAGTATAGTCAATCAAGTGGAATATTAGTCGTTACAAGCGGCGCAACGGTTTCACTGAATCGAGTGTCATGGGTGTTTAACTGACACGGTGAATAACCAGTATAAATCAGTGACACTTTGCTGTATCTCGTCTTTAGTATAGTTGTATTCTAGTTAGCGTTCCGCAGTGTAGCGGTTTTTATTCATTATGTTGTCTTATGTTGTTTTATTTTCGTGTATGCTCGACATATAAAAAAAAAAGAGAAAGTCAAGATTATATGATGGTTCAATATGCCGCAAACTTGTGTTGTTGAATTTGTTTTTATTTGCATTAAAGAACATCCCAAGTATTCGCGACTCATGCGACCTATAGGGGTCGCCACTCTCGGGCAAGTGCGTCGGTGTGACGCTGTCGACTACGGAGGAGTATCTTGCCGCATACCCCATCAGGGCCTCGAAACATCTTTAGTACGAAAAAGTAATGTACTGCGAAGGCGGAGCCTCTGGAGCTACGAGCGTTATGATGTCACCCGAGAACTTTAGAAGGCTGTTGCTGCGACCGCTCTGACAATCAGAAACGTCGTCATCTGCGTTCCTGGCGAGGTCTGCGAATACCTTGAACGGCGCCAAATGGCGGTCGGACGTCAGGCATTGGTGTGCCACGGACAGGTAGCGAACGAGCTTGTGGAAGGCGACCTCGGCTAGTCTTCATTTGAGGCGCGAGAGGCCTGAAGCAAGCTGAAATAATACACGCATCTCAGGTACGTGGATGGAGACCGCTGGGTTAGGCGTCTGTTCATCTACATACACCTAAAAATGTCAACTCGACATGGAGAAACCGAGTTACTCGTCTTGGCACAAAGTTTCAGATTTTTTCTTTGGTCACCGAACCCCAAACTGTTAAGGAATGTGTGAGTGCAGTGCAGGAGCAAGTAAAGAGTACTGAGAAGGACCGTTGGATGTTCGGGATGCATCACCATTCTACCATGCATCTTTACGCGACCCTCGAAACCGAGATCGCGCCCCTGACTTTCTGTGGAAACACGCTGGGCAGTCGACTTCTTATGGAGGCCCGTGGTGGTGCTTTACGTACCACACCGTGCCGACAGAAGTACGACTGCAACGTGACGGACACGATGTGCAGCGTCTTTAGGGCGTGGGAAGAAACAATCAAACACCTGCTCATCGCGTGCAAGGCACTGCTTCTAGCGCCTATCGTGGGATCGCGTATCGAGCATGCACCCGGTTTTACTGAGGAATACAACCTGAGGAGTTGAGGAACACAACCTCTCGATTCGCCTGCTCTAAGCGGTGACTCGAGATATGGTGGAAGGCTCATCGGTCACACCAGTGGTTAATTGGTTTGTTTTAGTTCTTGGCGCGGCTATACCACAGACTCTGGTTGCAAAGACATTACGCAGGAAATATACATACATACATACATATGGTGGTCAGAAAGTAGTGCCATTCATTCAATGTACCAGGTCCGCTCACAACGCTTGTGTTTCAGCAGGCAAGCATTGGGCTCAGAATGGTTCGCCCCGATTTTTATATATCCACTACGTTATAAGCGAGTTTCCAGAGGCTAGCTTACGTCGTTTGCGTAGCTTGGTTGCCATGCGTAGCATGGCAACCAAGCTACGCAAACCGTACGCATTACAAGTAATCAGATTACTTGTAATCGATTACTTTTTGGAATAATTTTGTAATCAGTTGATTACTTTTATTAGGCAGTGACCACAAGAGTAATCTGATTACTTTTTGAAGTAATAAAATTACTTGTAACCGTTACAATTAGTCCACGAGACCCCCCCCCCCCCCCCCGGCACGTGCCTTTTTTTATGAAGTGACAAAAATAAAATTTTCTTTTCTTTTTCGAACGGAAAAAAAAAAGATTTTTGCGGAGCTATAGGAAACGAGGTCAAACTCCTTCTATGTACAGTTTCTGTGGAATATCCGTTTTCTTTGTTTTTTTTTGTTCTAGCTGGGACTGGGAGTGGGAAGCCCCAGAGAAGCCACAGAGCTGACAAAGGCCATTCAGGGCGAAGTTTGACGAAGCAGAATGTAGCTTTGTGAGTCCTTCGTTGAAACTAGCCCCCTCACGCACACACACACAGAAATAAAAAAATAAAAAAATCCTGCTCAGGGTACCTACTCGCAGCCCGTAGGAGAACCAGAACCGAAGAATGCCTAAAGCGGATGCAAAATATAACAAAGGCAGTTGAAATATTTCCCCATTTCCCCTACGTGGTCTTTGTGACAAGCAATGTTTCGAGTTGAGAAGTGGTCGGGGCGATCTCTTCCGCTAATGGATACTACACATGATCCGTTTCAAATCCTGGAGCTGCTGCTCTTTAGTATAACATGCGAGCTCATCCACATGTGAATAATAAAATAAGCAACGCAAACTTTGAGCGACAACCCTTGCTCAAGCTTAACAAGATCTAGAACCCCCTCCGCTCCCCCTCCCCCCCCCCCCCCCCCCCCCACACACACACACTGGCGAACACCCAAATCATTAAACACCTTCAAACGAATTCTATGCTTATGTCCGCATTGTGAAGGTGCAACGACCACGAAGAGGGAGCCAGTTTTTCTTCTTCAATACTTGTGCAAATGTCAAATATAGGTTGGAAGTAGATCATTGTTATGAGCGCTAAAGATGTGTCTCCACACAATAAAGTAATCGGAAAAGTAACAATTACTTCTTTAAATAATGTCCAATTACTTTTGCCGTCGAGTAATCAAGTAATCTAATCGAATCCTTTTTAGCCAAGAGTAATAGTAATTGTAATCGATTACTTGTTTTTAGTAACGTGTACAAGACTGCATGCTAGCTTGGTCCGAAGCCTACATGAACACCGTCATATTACTACTTCGTGGAAATGTTTATGCTTCCCTGCAGTGCGTGAGCGTACCGTAGCTCGGAGCACGTGCAACGAAAGCTCGCGCTGCAGGACCTATAGGGAGTATTCACTGGCGGCCATATCCGTGTGCGCTGCTGCTGAGTGCGTGCTGACGGCGAGCTTCCGCAGTCCTTTTGGAGCGTGCATTTAGCACCATCAAGGTTGCCGGTCTTAGCAGGCTATTAATGTGAGCTCGTTCTGAGCATGCGCTCTAAACATGGCCCTCAAATATGGCGTCCATTGAATACCTCCTATAGTCGTTGACAGGTTAGCAGTTCAGGAGAAGGTCCCCCCACCCCTTTCCCCAATCACCAGAGCGAACCCGGGAGAAGAAGCGACATCCTCGCCAGCGTTCACTTTGCTAATCTGGAAAAAGGCGGGAGGATCTTCCCCTGAACTCTTATGGCTTATTCGTGTGGTCCTTTCCCAGCAAAATATTTTGCCGTATCTTCGGCAAGCGCGTTCGCATGGTAAAAGACTGGCGGGTGCTCGCCGTACGGGTGGAGCTTTTCAGGGGTGTGCCGGCGACTTGCCAGCACACTTTTTCCCCGAGCTCCAGAAAGGTCAGGTAGCTTGTCTGCCACACGGTATATATCCGGTATCGTCATATACCAGTTGGGAAAGGGAATCAAACGAAACAATGCTCGCCGATAGTGGATCCGAGTCGCAAACAAAGCCATCGAGGCAAAGACCCTTTCGTGCTTCGATAGGAAAGTATAGCAAAAACAATGAAGATAAAGGTAATTCCTGTTTTAAAGGCGGTAAAACTGTTTGGAAGAATTCGTCCAGCTTGCGCAAGTTAAGTTGTCCTTGGAACACACCGTGTTATTACACTGCGGCAAAAAAAAAAAAAAGAATAATAATGCAGCTTAATAAAAAAAAAAACAGATAATAAAAAGACAATATAATAGGAAAGGCAACGCTGGCAAGCCTTCTTGAGAGCCTTGTAAAGTGCTAGGAGATCTCCGGAAATCCAAACAAATTAAATTGATATTTGACGCATGTGCACGACACCGATTATTAATCTGCCCTCGCATTATTATTATTTTTTTTTTTAATTTAAGATCCTGTTAGATGTGCAAATAAATGCTAATATTTCGAGGACTATCGCGAAACCACTAGCGTTTACACGCGTCACAAGTTTGTTGTGTGTGTTTACACAGTTGGGTAAACACACACCGTTGTGTGTTTACGCAGTTGTGTGCATGTTGTGTGAAGCCAGTTGTGTTTACGCAAGTCCGAATTTATGTTGCGTGTGTTTACACGGTGCGAATTGATGTTGTTGACGCACACATCGTGCCCATTGTACCATAGAATAATCGAGGAAGAAGTTAACAGAGCTCATGCGGCACCCAGGCATACAAAAACGCAATTTGCCGACGCTTTGCGTTCGGAGGGCCAGGTGGTGCACCGCTGGCTAGTTTTTAAATTGCCGGTGCCGCCGGCAGGGGCTCGCCGGTGATTCACCTTTCTTTCAAAAGTCCGTGCCATCGCCTGTCCGCCATTGCTGGATCGCGTACTGTGAGCACATATATTGGACACGAGGGCTACGCGACCGTTCGGCAAAAACAAGGCTCAGCTTGTGTTGAAAACCACCACCGTGTCGGCGTTCGGCCAGGACGCATATTCAGTCACACGCTACGTGTCCACGGATGGATGGTTGGATGGATGGATGTTAGCGGCTGCGCCCTTAATATCGGTCGCCAATCTGCGCCACCTAGCCTTGTTTCCAAGCAATGGCGACCGCCAATGTTGCTCGATGCACTTTTGAAACGAGCCTTTTGACCACCCGAATTCACCCGTCATCCGACTATACGCCTTTTCTACAAGGGCGCCACCATCTTGAAGTTGTCACTTCCAGGGTGGGCGAAAACATTGTTTTGCCGTCGCCACACCGATAGAAGACATTTGGGATGTAATTGCGTAACCGACACTCATCCTCGTTTTGCCTCACCTTTATTTCTTTAACTCTTTGCAGGTTCAGAAGTTTTATTCCATTTTTGTCATCCATCCGGATACGTCTGCAGGGTGGCTAGAAACG